CATCCTTCCGCTTTACGCTGGACTGGCGCCCTACTCTCTTTTGAATTGGCGCCGCTCCCAGCAAGAACAACGCTCACGCTCGAGATTTCCTTTCTTTCTCCTCGGGGCGGTGCTGTTCCTCTCCGCCGACAGCCCCCGTCCCGACAAATCCACGGCTCCCACTCGATGCTTCCTCATTTCTTACCCAAGGCGGTGTCCCTCCTCGCCGCCGACAGCCGTCGTCCCAACAAAACCAGCGCTCCCGCTCGGGAAATCCTTCCATTTTACGCTGGACTGGCGCCCTACTCTCTTCAGCATTGGCGCCGCTCCGAGCAACAACAGCAGCCCTGCTCGAGACTTCCTCCCTTTCTATTCAGGGCCAGGTCCTTGCCTCACCGCCGGCAGCCCCCATCCCCGCCAAGGCAATCCTGCCGTTCGATACTTCCTTGTGCTTTACCCTTCGCTGGGGTTCCACTGGCGGTCTTGCATCAGCGCAGCAAGGCGCGGGCATGTGTTTTCGAGGCGGGATATGTTGAAATTCCTCGGAGGAGGTGTTTGCAAGACCACATTGGGCAGGAGATCTGAGAATGGGAATAACGGACCCTGCCATAGAACAAGAGTCTCCCATGATGTGGATGGTTATCATGCTGGTCGCATGCTTCGTGTGGAAACATCGCGCATGAGGGTAAACTGATGGCTGTTGTTGTTTTTGCTGCTGCTGTTGTTGTTGCTGCTGCTGTTGTTGTTGTGGTTGTTGTGGTTGTTGTTGTTGTTGTTGTTGTTGTTGTTGTTGTTGTTGAAATAGTCGGTGGTTCCCTCCGAGCAGCCCTTCCTGCTGCAGGGGTCGCTGGGACCTGCAGCAGCTGAAGGGTGGTGGCTGCAACCCACTTGACAGCAAGGCACCTGCAAGTGGGTCGCACGTCCGCCTGGCTGCTCTGACGGGTCTGTTGTCCACCACCACCACCATAAGTTGGATGGGGGGAAGGAGGAGGAGGAGGAGGAGGGGAGGGGGAGGAGGAGGAGGAGGAGGAGGAGGAGGAGGAGGAGGAGGAGGAGGAGGAGGAGGAGGAGGAGGAGGAGGAGGAGGAGGAGGAGGAGGAGGAGGGGGAGGACCCCCTCACCCTCCAACTAATGGTGGTGCTCCGAGTCGGGCCCGCGACTTGCAGTGAGGCTTGGAGAGAGCAGCGAAGCGGACCTGCAGCCCCCCCCGCGGGCGCCCTGCCAGTGGGCCGCCTCGCCGCCTCGCCACCGTTGCAGCTGCTGCAGGCCGACTCGGCCACCAGAGTGGGCCTCTTGGCTGGCCTGTCCCTCTACAGGAGGAGTATTCAAAAATAGTAAAAAAATTGGTATTGGTGCAATCTTTCGACTATTTTTGACCATCTTGGAGTATTGCTTGACTATTCCCGATTTTTCGTCCAAAGTCGGCCTGTAGGGAGTGGGCCTCTTGGCTGGCCAGACCCCGCGCCCCGCCCGCTCCGGCGCGCCGACGGCAGGTGGCGCCCACCGATCGCCTCGCGGACGTGCGTGCGCGGCTGCTGGCTGGTCGCCTCTCGCGCGTGCTCGGCTCGGCGGCCTCCACGGCCGACGCCGTCCTGCCGCGGGGCGAGCTGTGGAGCAGGGCCCCCGCGGGAGAGACCTGCGCCAGCGCCTTCGGGCTGGCCTCAAAGTACAAGCACGGCATGCACGTAACTCTTCGAGGTCCGCGCGGATTTCTTGCGTCGGCGCTGGGCCACCCTGGCGGCGCCTCGGGCGCCGTTCCTGGCGCGCTCCGCGCGCGAGGGACGGGGTCCAGCGCCGATCCAAGAAATCCGCGCAGGACTCCAACAGGGCGCGCTTATGCAGTGTTCCTCTAGGGAGAGACTTGCGCTGACCTCTTCGGGCTCGCCGGCCTCTGAGCGCCAGTCGCCATGATCGTCGTCGTGATCGTCGTGGTGATCGTCGTCTTCGTCGCCGTCTTTGTCGTCTTTGTCGTCTTTGTCGTCTTTGTCGTCGTCGTCGTCGTCGTCGTCGTCGTCGTCGTCGCCGTCGTCTCTGTCGTCACCGTCGACGTTGCCTCTTTCGTCGTTGTCTCTTTCTTTGTCTTTGTCGTTGTCTTTGACGTCGTCGTTGTTATTGACATGCTTGTTGACGTGCTTGTTGTTTTTGTGTACTCCGTGGTTGGAGAGAGCCAGAAGGCGGTGTTTCGCTATTACTGGTAGCGCGCGGCTTGTCGGTTCTTGCGCTCTGCCGCACCTGACCCTGCCCCCCGCGTGAGCAAGGAGGCAGGCGCCCGAGAGCCCCACATCATCATCATCATCATCATCATCATCATCATCATCATCATCATCATCATCATCATCATCGTCATCGTCATCGTCATCGTCATCATCATCATCATCATCATCATCATCATCATCATCATCATCATCGTCATCATCATCATCATCATCACCATCACCATCACCATCATCATCAGCATCATTAATTTTGGCTCAAACGGCGGCATGGGCTGGGGCTCGCAGCTGCCATCTGTTTCACGGCTTTGCCTCCTCGTGCTAACAGTCGATGGGCTCGCGCAGCCGCTCACGCGAGCCCGCGCCAGTGCCAGCAGCCATGGACGGACCCACGATGATGCACTTCAGAGAGATGCTTCGCTCCGAGATCAAGGGGCCGATGGCGAAACATTTCGCGGACGTAAAGACGTCCATCGACAACGAGCGCAGGGACGTCGAGAGGCACGAAAGGCGCCTCAACAACATGGAGCAGGAGCTCGAGGACCTGCGCGAGGGACGTCCGGCGGCCCCCTCATCCACGGCGGCTTCATCGATTGGGCATCCGCTGCGCTTCTCTGGGGTCGAGAGCGCGTCGGCACAGATGGTCGCGTCGGGGCCGAAGAGAGCGTGCGACCAGATTTGTGTAACCGTTGGCGGCTGGGATCGGGACGCGCCCCGCGACACCATCCTGAACGAGGCTCGTGCGTTTTCCGACGCCATTCCCGACAAAGCAGAAGATGGGGTGTTCGTCCCGCTCAAGCGTGCCAGTTTCCGGAAGGTCCGCTTCACGTGCACGAGGCTCGCAACCCACGAGTACGAGCGCCTCGCCGAGCTCAGCCCGGACCGATCCACAACCAGCTGCTGAACGCGGAGGGGCAGATCGAGGACGACCCGCTGCGGATCAAGGAGCTCCTGGAGCGCGACTACGGCAATACCTTCAGGGCCAGCGATGGGGAGGAGCCTGTCGGGGTTTCTGCCTACCTCGCCCACTGCGCGAGGGAGGATGTGCTCGGTATCCCGCCCTTCTCGCCCGAGATGCTCCGCGAGGCTCTGTGGGACGTGAAGGCCATGAAGGTACCTGGCGTGGGCGGGGTGGTAGCCGAGGTCCTGCAGGCCCTCGGCTCGGGCTTTCTCGCCTCGCTCGCGGCCGTTTTCGAGAACCGCTTCCGCGGGGTGCCCGAGTATGCCAGGGACCGAGTCTTCCTGATGCTCATTTTCCTTCTCCGCCTCCCGTTCCTCTGCATGCGCTCGTTTCCGCCTCCTCTTCCGTCTCCCGCTGTCTTCCTCGTCGTGATCCTTGCCCACCTGTTCGCTATCTTTTTTTGTTGTTGTTTTGTTTTCATCGCCCTTGTACTTCTAATCCTCCTTTTCCTCCTCCTCCTCCTCCCTCTCGTCATGCTCTTTGTCCATGTGCACTCTGAAGATGAGCCTCCGACATCCAGGCGTGCCCACCCGAGACAGGTGTAACCAATATGGTCCCTTGTGCTTGCTTCCTCCTATAAGCGCATCGCTCCTTCCTCCTCGCCCCCTCCTCAGCCGCCTTCTCCTCGGTTGTGGAGTTGTTTTCGGATCAACCTCCATACAGCGAGCTGTATGCCGAAACCGGAGATTTAGGGCGCAGATAATGCCCCCCTGGAGCTGATTCATGTTGCGCCGTATCGTGAGCCCCAGTAAATGCATGCCTGGGAGAGCCCCAGACAGTGATGCAACTGCCTGCCCATAGTCGCAGAAGTTGGAGATTGGCCGCCAGAAATCCAGAGGACCCCCCCCCCTGTGATCATGGCAACGCCAGAAGATTCCATTCATGGCTGGCTGGGTTTCGGGCATCCACGTATCTCTTGGATTTGGCTGCTGGTGAGGTGCATGGGCAGGCGTTCTGGTTGCACGTCACAGGGTCGAACACGTTCACGCCAGGACAACCCTCCTAAAGTCTGGCTACCCCCCCCCGCGCCAGTGTGGGTTTTTCTCCCATCTTAGGGTGGCATGGGAGCCTGGTAGATTCAGGCGTTCCCTCGTTGACTGGCGCATCATGAGGATGACGCGTTGGTGAGTGGCTCGGTGCGAGTGGGCTGTGCATTTATTCAGCAGGTAGCTGTCGGCTTCCAACCGTTACATGAATCATGAGTCCAGCCCGGAGTTTCCTTCCCCCCGAGGAAACACAACGTCTACTGTCCCCCAGCTGGCCCGCTCTCTCTCTCTCTCTCTGTCTCTCCCTCCCCCCTCTCTCGTTCTCTCTGTATCAGATTGCATATATGTGTAGTATAGAGAAACTAACAAAACGTATCTAGCGTTCCCTGCTCGCCTTGCTCACAGCAAATTGCATGATCCTTCGTTTTCCCGATCGCCGTTTGTGATGATGTTGATAGTCATGCTGCTGCTTCATCTGCTGCTGCTCTTGCTGCTGCTCCTCGCTCTCCCTTCTCCCTTTTCCCCCTCTCCAAGGCCAAAGACGAGCATGCGGTGCGAAGGCGCGTCCGTTAGACGGTCTCTCGCCGGCAGGCTTGAGGATGGAAGTGGAGAAGGAGGAGGACTGGGAGGAGGAACGACAAGAGGAGGGATTCGGAAAAGGCGAGGAGGAGGAGGCGGAGGAGGAGGAGGAGGAGGAGGAGAAAAACAAAAGGGCGAGGGAGGAGGAAGAGGGGGAGGGGGAAGAACACCCTGACCGCCCAACGCACATCGGTGTCATGCTGTGGCTGGCCGTGCTGCGTCATGAGTTCTGCCTGTTGTTGCACTTTTTCGGGGTCTGCCTGTCGAGGCACGCTCTGCTCCTGCAGGGACATGATCGGGAGCAAGGGGCGGACGATGGAAGGAGGACGGGGAGGAGGAGGAGGATGAGGAGGACGGGGAGGAGGAAGAGGAGGAGGACGCGGAGGAGGAGGAGGAGGAGGAGGAGGAGGAGGAGGAGGAGGAGGAGGAGGAGGAGGAGGAGGAGGAGGAGGAGGAGGAGGAGGAGGAGGAGGAGAGGAGGAGAGGAGGAGAGGAGGAGGGGAGGAGGGAGGAGGAGGACGAGGAGAGGAGGAGGGAGGAGGAGGAGGAGGAGGAGGAGGAGGAGGAGCTAAGCTTGCCAAAGTGGGAGCTCAATTCTTGAGCTTTGGCGCCGAGGCGAGAGCGAAATTTCGGTCGCTCGCGCGGGATGTGCGCTCCGTCCCAATCCCGCCATGCATTTTGCAACATGTGCGACGCGGCCCATACTGTCACGAAGCTTGCCGATTTTGGATTGCTTTCTCGCATGTAGGATGGAGGGTCCCGGGTTGGGTGGGGGGTGGGGCTATCGGCTGGCTGTGGGGTAAGGTCGGAGTGTATATGTACATGTTTGTATATATAGATACACATATATATATACACATTTGTATTTATTATTTATTAGATGTATATATATGTGTATACAGACAGAACAAGTTAGCCAAGCCGAGCAAGTCACAGGGCTCCACCTATTCCCGCCTCTCTTCCCACAGCATAAGGATCCCCTGTGGCACACCTTGGCACTGGGATTGGAGGCGCGTTCCGACCTCGCAGACGGCAGGCGCTCGCGCGCTGCCCTCCGTTCCGACGACTTGGCGAACGAGACGCTACGTTGGCCGCGGTGTGGCGGGAGACGGCAGCACTCCCAGTGGGCGCGGCAGAAGTCGAAGCATGCGCCGCGCTGGCACAGCGCTGCCACCTTGACTCGCAAAGCTGCGCGGCGCTTGGGCGAGGTCGGCGCTTCGCCCGCTCCCGAGCAGCGCCTCTGCCGTTGTCGCTTTCAGGTGATTCAGCGAACAAGTCATGCGCCGCGCCGCGCGGGAACGCCACTTGCGGGCGCGAAGTTCCGCGCGGAGCTCTGGCGAGGATGACGAGTCCCCTACTCGCGCGCCCCCCCCCCAAATTGGCGAATCGAGGATCTGCGCCGCGTCGAGGCAGCAGCTCCACCTTCTGGCGGACGTTGTGCGGCGCCGAGGCGGGAGCTTCCTTTTCGCCCGCTCGCACGTCGACGAAGATGCGTGCAATACGTGTACGCCGCGCAACTGTGGGAGTTCAAGTCTCAAGAGGGGTGATCTTTAGCGCCGAGGCGAGAGCGACATTTCGGCCTTTCGCGCGGGACGTGCGCTCCATTCCCGCCACGCATGTTGCAACATGGGCGGCGTATCCCATGTTGGCACGAAGCTCGCCGATGTTGTATGGCTGTCCCGCGTGTAGGATGGATGGTCCCGCGCCGCGGGTCTATCGGCTGGCTGTGGGGCAGAGTTGGAGTAGATACGAAACAGGTTCGCCAGGTCGAGCGAGTCAGACGGCCCCGCCTCTTCCCACCTCCCCCCCACGATGTTCGGATCACGTGTGGCACACCTTGATTTTTCGGGATGGGAGCGCGCTCCTACCTCGCAAATGGAAGGCGCTCGTGCGCGGCCCGGGTTCCGACGAGGAGGAGGAGGAGGAGGAGGAGGAGGAGGAGGAGGAGGAGGAGGAGGAGGAGGAGGAGGAGGAGGAGGAGGAGGAGCGGCGAAGAGGAAACGACATTGGCCGCGGCGCGGCGGGAGCGGCAGCACTTCCGAGGGGGGCAGAGCACAGGCCGAGGCACGCGCCGCGCCGACGCAGCAGTGCCGTCTTCACTTGCGAGCTGCGTGGCGCTCGCGCGCGGCCCCCGCTCCGACCATTGGGCAAGACAGGGAAACCGCGTTGGCCGCGGCGTGGCGAAAAAACACACACTGTGGGAAACAACACACACACAGTGTGTTTTTATCCCACTGTGTGTTTTTCCCCACAGTGTGTGTGTGTGTGTTTTTTCCCGCGGCCCCCGCTCCGACGATCTGGTAAAGGGGAAGCTGCGTTGGCCGCAGTGTGGCGGGAGCGGCAGCACTGGCGGTGGGCATGCGGCGGACGTCGAAGCACGCGCCGCGCCGGCTCAGCGCCTGCCGCTTTCACTCACGGGGCTGCGCGGCGCTGGGGCGAGGTCGGCACTTCGCCCGCTCCCGCGCGGCGTCTCTGCCGCTGTCGCTTTCATGCGATCCGGCGAACCTTCCTTTCGAACCGCAGTCCACCCACGAAACGCGTCTAGTAGCTTCACGACAGCCGCCCGTGCCAGGCCGCCCTGGGAATCTGGTATCCACCGTTTGCACAGTGACCAGTGTTGGTGCACCTCCACAAGTGCCGTGCGCAGCCTGAGCGAAAGGAAAGCTGGAATTGCACAAGTCCGAACCAGAGGAGTTAAGCGACCAAACGCATCAGATGGATTACCGCAGACAATTAGCAGGAGGGGAAGAAACACACAGACACAAATAATCGCCGATTTTCCAGAAAATATAAAACAAATTAAGCAGTGGGGGGGGGAAGACAGAAACTCGGAAAGCATGGGAAGATATGGGGAATCTTTTATTCGTGTGTATTTACTCGTGTGTCCCAAGGCCCCTTCAAAATGGCCCGCCCCCCCCGCTGCAGCCCCGCAGTTGACGCATGCCTGGCCATGGAGGGTTTGACGGAGCACAGCCCGCCAGGACCTCCAGCTGCCCGGGCCGGACGCCGCCCACGACGCGCAGCAAGGCCGCCATCCGAGAGAATGCGTAAAACCTGTCCCGCTGCAGACCCGAAGTTTAAGTCGGGCCTGTCCCTCTACAGGAGGAGTGTCCAAAATAGTTTTAAACAATGTCTGGGGACTACTTTTTTAAAGCGTT